GCACACACAGCGCTGCTCACGCCTCTCTCGGGTTTTGTATCCGCTCACACGCACGTTCTGACACAGATCCCTTCCCTCCACACGCCCTCCCAGCTCCTTTCCCACCCCACTTTCTAGAAGAATCCCCGTACGGCTTCCGCACTTTGCTTTCTGCCCCACACCAACCTCCTCGCCTTTCCCGAAACCTCCGCCTCACTTAAACTGCCCCTGTTATTCAAAGATTTTGCCACAACCCGCACGTGTTGCAGGAGAGTCATCCACCCATACTCAGGAGAATGAACTTTGCTCCCCCTGGCACTGTCTGCAAATGCAAGATGCTTCTCTTTTTAGAAAGCACTAATGCTTTCTGGTGCTGAGCCAAGCTCTAAACGTAAACAAAGGTAGCCGATTCCTAAATGACCTGAAGAACTAGACACGGAAAAAGTAGTGGGTTGGGTTGGGTCTGACCTTCGAAAGGCGGCTAACCCGGAGTGTTCCAGCCCCCCCTGCCCTTTCGCCGCCTTTCACGCAGGAGGATGGGTTGCTCTGAACGTGTGTGATAACCAAGTACCAGATAGACACCGTGGGCATCATCAGCCCATGGATTTCTGCCTGGGAGTACAGTAGTAGGGAGAGTAAAGGCAGTTTCTCAATCATTATTCCTGATGGAAGCACTTTAGATAACACACCTCTTCCAGAGGCTGTAGAGTGAAATGCAGGCAGCTCTCCAATTCAGTGTATTATTTTTTAAGAGGGTGACTTAGCCTCCCTTTTTCTCAATTACCAGTAACTTTCTCAGCGGCTGCTTGGATGTCAAAGCCCCTTAGAAATAGACTAGTAGTTCCTTACGCCTCTCACTCTTCAAACTCTAAGGTTCCCCTGCGTGTACAGCAGAATGGTATATCATCCAGTGTTCGGGAATTCATTATTTGAAATTAGATACAAACACCTTTCTGATAAAGTTCAAATCTGCGAACATAAATTGTCCCTGTTGATGAAGTGCGGCCCTAATAAGGGGTAAATAAAGAAGCTGAAAGTAAAGGAACTCATTTTCTTATGTGACTTGTGGTGGATCTTGTTTGACTGGATGGGTGTGTGGATCATGTAATTGATTTTAAAATATTTGTAAGTGCTTTATAAGTATTAACTCATTTAATCCTTGAAACAGTCCAATCAGGTAGGTAGTTTTTTTTTTTTTTTGACCTTTTTTAGAGATAAAGTAACCAAGGCACGGAGAGGATAATAGTAGAGGAGGAATCTGGACTCACCTATGCTACAGACAGGAAAACCTGCTTCTAGACATCATAGTACATGCAAATATAAAGGATAAGCATCATATTGCTTATGAATTTAGCTGGAAAAGGTAACTGGTAACAGTTTGCTTTGGAATTTAATGCACTTTTTAGGTTCTCTATCAAAATAATTCACTTAAGTTATGGGGGTTTCTCCTCATAATTAGAATTCAACAATGAGTAATAAATTATTGTTTCCTAGGAGGGGCTTCGGAAATAACATCGAATTCAGTAATCACTCCTTTCTTCTACCACTTCTTAAGTTCCTAGGACTCCAAATCTAACTTGTTCAGTAAAGCTTGTGAGAAAAAAGTCTTCAAGAACTGAGTATGACCAGAGGGAAGAAATGGTTTTCAGGAGCCCATACGTGGCCTTTGACCTTTGAGGGCTATTTCCCAATAAGTAGGTAGTGGCCATAAGAATAACTGATATGTATGATGAGAGTGAAAATATTAAAGCATTGAATTGATGAAAAATAAATAAATGGAAAATAGGAGTATAGTAGTAGCTACCGTACAAATTAGACTAAACTAACTCTCTACTGGAAATGGAGGCTTAGTCCGTGAAAGATGATTATAAAGTAACTAAAGACAATAATTACAACATTTGAGAGTTACTTAAGGGACCTAGCAAAAGAAATCAGATTTTTAAAAGTTTATACACGGTCAGTTTCAAATTAAACTTAAATCTTTTGCTGTTCAAATTAATTTACTCTGAAAAAAAAAAGAAAACTTCTGTTTCTGGGTGAGGGGGTTTATTCAATAATTATTCAAAATGCTTATTGAAAAATATTAAAAACTTCTTGGACATCAAATAACTAACAAACCAGTATTTTGATGAGTTAAGCATAAATAATTTTTAAAACATGTGAATTACATTCCTATAACTACATGGAGATTTAAAATCCAAAGAACTAGAATATGAAAAAATATGTATTAGTGTTGGTACTACATATTGAGAATTTATTTGAAAAATTAGACTAGTTGCAATTTTGGTCAAGAGGTTATCTGTCTAGTGCTAGTATGACTCTTGTTCAAATTGATTCTCTATGGTTATAATCCATGAATCTCATTTTACTATTTTCTAAGCTAAATAAAAAAGTGAACGTCTTTTCTTAAGCAAACAAACAAGAATCATTAAGAGTAAACATTTTCTGGGAAATGAACAAAGTATGTTAGTCTGTATATTATAATATTTCCATATAGATATTTTTAATCTGTGTCTGCTGCTTCCCCCCATATTGTCACCTATATCCTTTATCCAATGTGCTTAATTGTACGTGTCGAGGAACAACGCATATCCTGCTATGAGGCTGACCTTTTCCTTGCAGGACTGATCTCAGCAAAATGCCATATTCTGTATTTTCCATCTCCTGATTGTCCTGATTCTCTAGGCATGGCCATTCAGAGCAAGGTTCACATTCGTGGATTCCAGAAACCTGTTTTATACCATGATCAGTTATCTCTATCAGAATTTTGGCATCTGAATAAGTACAGAGGCAGAGAATGACTTCAGTTGCTAGGCTCCAGACCACTCACTGGGCTCCAGACCACTGTTCAGACCTGTTGGAAAGTGTTTCATCTGGAGACCCTTGACTATGTCTAGGTGGAGGAACTGGGTAGAATTTGGGTGATCTCCCTTGGGGAGGAGATTAATGTGTTCTGTGTGTGTGAGTCCGGTGGCTATTAGGCTTTTCATAAATATTCCAGCTCTGCATCCTTCAAGACATGTGATAGGATTGCTTGTCCCCACCCTACTGAAGTATAGTGCAGCCCTGCGACTTGCTTCAGCCAATGAAAGGTGGATGGAAGTGATGAGTATCAGTTCTGGGCAGAAGTTAAGAGCCAGTACATGTATTACCAGATTCTGTTTTTCCCTGTAGTATTGCAACCACCAAGCTGCCTGATGGTGGCTGCTCCTCTGGATTGCAGTGATTGGCGACAGTGAGCAATGCCACCCCTGCTGACCCTCCCCTACTGGACATGAGTATGAGTAAGAAATAGACTTTGTGGTCTTAAGCCACTGAGATTTAGGGGTTGTTTGTTTCTGCAATATTATCTAGCCTATTCTGATGAAAAATATGGAGGAAGAAAGAGACAAATAATTGCAGGGCACCCTATGACAGGGAATGGCTAATAATTCCACAACTCTGTTTCTCTTTCCTCCTGGGTACACAACTAATTCACATTTCCCAGCCTCCTATGTAGTTAGCTGAGGTCATGCAACTGAATTCTGACTGACAGAATGTAGATGAAAGTTTTGTGCTCCACCTCCAGTCCCCACCCATGGGAAACCTGCATGATCTCTCGTCTCCATCTGCCACATGGAAACTAAGTATTCTGAGACTCTAGAACAGGAGTCAGCAAACTTTATCTATACAGGGCCATATGGTAAATATTTTAAGCTTTGTGGGTCATGAGGTCTCTGTCATACCTATCTGCTGTTTTACAGTAAAGTAGTCATAAGTACCATGTAAACAAATGGATATGGTTGTGTTCCAATAAAACTTTATCTACA